CCCAAGTAAGGAGACAGTGCTCCTCAGCAAAAGCAGCTTTTAAGCATCAGTTACACTCTGATCACACAGCAGCCAGGAGGTGGTTGGAGAGTTCCAGAGAATGGCTGGGAGCAGAAACCATGGAGGCTAGGAAGGATGGTGGAAGTACTAAGAAGCCCTCATCGGTGGAAGAGTTCCAGAGTGCTTCCCGGAGTTAAGAGCGAAGGGTCTCCAAACTGAAAGGTGGGGAGCGGTAACCCTAGCTGCTGTGAGGTTAGACGCTAGAAGAAATTAGGCAGAAAGGAAATGGGCCCACAGTGATAGATGAGAGACAGCCATAGGACCCAAGTCAGTAGACCATAAAGTTAGAAAACCAAGATTGGCTGACATTTGATCCCTGGGCCAAAGGGGAAGAGAAAATGGTGGGACTGACCTGATGGAAGAATGTCTGCAGAATGTGGGTGGGACTGCTAACCCAGTCCACCACAGGACTACTGGCCTTTTTAAGGGTCAGGCTGTAGTAAAGAACCAATAAAAAGTGTCCATCCCCAATGCCTGATTAGCATACCAACTGAGCAATGCCCTCTTCAACTCAATAAATACCCTAGACCCAGCAGAGCTTCTAGGAACCCATTTGGGTCCCCTCTCTTCTTGTGGGAGCTTTTGCTTAATAAACTTTCCTACTTTTATACTCTCTGCCACTGAGTGCAAAGACCTGAAACCTAGCCATCACCGCAGACCCCGATCACGCAAGAAGATTCCGGTTTCATCTTAACCTGGAATGCCTACCCTCTCTGACTAAAGGCTGTGACACTTAAGCCAGCAAGGTTGAGTGGAGGCTTTCAGTCCTTCCATTTCACTGCTAAGAGCTGGGCACCTACAGCTGTAAGTCTCTAGCTTTGAAAGCTGGGACTCAAAGTCTCTAGCTCTTAGAGTTTAGAATTATTAGTCTCTGAAGTTTGAAAGCCAGCCCTAAGCCTCTGGGCCCTGAGAAGCTTAGTGCTGCCTGTCTGAATAGAGCAGGGATAGGAAGCCACCCCTGCCTATTTGAATAGAGGAAAAAGGCCTTCACTAGCCTGTTTGTGACAGGAGGAGCTACAGCACTGGCCACATCAGCAAGCATGCAAGCACTATTGTCTCAACACCAGCCCTATTGACAGGGAGGAACTAATGCTTGGAGTCTCCCTGTCTGTGGTTTGTTGGCAGGGTGTGGAGGCTGCTCCCTTCCCAGGGGATTCTACACAGGTGGGCTCTGAGGCTCAGGGTGGCTGTGTCTGTGGAGCAGGGGCTGGTGAAAATGAAAATGTTTCTGGAACAAAGCCCAGAGTCTCATAGCCTAATAACATAAACCTGAATTCCCCTGCCTCCTCCACGGAGGGTGGCAAAGGAGATCTGAGGCCTGCTGGAAGGAAGTGCCCCAACATGGCCAGACTCTGGACCAGGAGAAATGCCCATTTCAGGCCCCCGATGGTGATGATCTGCTGCCCAGTTCCGGGAGATGACTGTGGGCTCGAGCTGGAGGGCCAGCATATCTGGTCCAGGGTAGAGTTCTTCCTTTCTTGCAGCTGTGGGACTCAACTTTTGAGTTTCACGTCCCTCCGTCACTGGGTAAAGGATGAGGGATTTTCTCAGCTTCCCAGTTTCCATGCAAAATCACAGGTACTTGAGATGCACACAAGTGAAAAAGAATTTCAAGTTACACACAAAAATGCATGGCTCATGAGGTGGGAGATTTAGCAAGGATTTATTTCAGTATAACAGGATAGGGAGAAGTAGACAAAAAAGGGTAGACACATTTCCTGCTCCCCACACAGGAAATGGGAGAAAAGACTCAACATGGTGGTTCTTTTCTGAAGTCTTTATACTTTCTGAGCTGGGGTCCTGTCAGACAGTGGATCTGGGTGCCCAAGATGGGTGCTGCTTATTATTGTAAAACACAGAGATGTGATCTAGGCCCACCCAAACCACAGGGACAGTAGGTGTTTTAGGACTTCCTTTTGCAAGACATGCCTCTCTTTTTCCGTCTCCACCCATTCAAGGAGCCTTGCAGCTTCCTAACATCTCAGAGAGGAAGGCAGATGCAGACAGCTCCTTGATGTCTCCCTATTTTTGTAATTTAACATCTTTTAAAAGGATGGGAGGGGAGCTTACTGCTCTGTTTTTTCAGTTTTTACTTCCAGGTTTTAATATGAGTCTGGCCCTTTTAATCTTTTAAAAAAGTAATATAATTTCTATGTCTTCCTCATCTGCTATGTTTCCAGAGGGGTCACTGGCCGCCCTGCAATTTGGTGGCTGCAGGAGGGGCTTCTAAGTGAGGCTCTGTCCCCTTCCTTGTCCTCTGGAAGCAGACAGCCTGTTGCTGGACATTTCATTATAAAAATGATGCTGACAGAGCTCCACTGTGGCGAAATCCTTGCCACATCTGCTGAGTTCTTAGAACCCATGCCTCAGAAAGGATTCTGACCAAGGATTTGAATGTCACTTGCTTCAGACAGATTACCACAAGACTCCCAAAGTTGGGTTAAACTCCACGAGGGGTCATTTGGGGACATTGGACCCTTCTTTTTGGACATAAGGAGTGGGCAGCTATGGGGAAAGTCTGAGCTATCCAATAGCAACAGGGACACCAGGTGATTTTATGGCGAGAGGTAGTGCAGGGGTGGGGAAATGGAGGGCACTGCTGAGATTTTGAAGGGGGCAGGGACAGCTCCCTCCTATCTGATGTGACCCTGTATCTGTCAGGCGAGAGCAGCACTGGTGGGTTCCATGTCCTAAGTTATTTCTATCTCCAGCATTCACTGAGTGTCCCTTTGTGGGTATGTCTTTTGGGCTCACAGGACCTGGAGGAAGTGGGACCCTGAGTGGAAGAGTCTCTATGGGATGGACAGTCCTCAGTGTGACTGCTCAGCCACCTGTGGGCAGTGAGGTCTTAGGCATGGCACTGACCAGGCCCCCTGACCTTAGAGTCCTGAAAATGGGGATAAAGGTAGTGTTTGAGGCAATGAGAACATGACCTTCCACTTGTACTACTGCTGGCACTGCAGACACTGCCACGTGCTAAGTGGGGGGTGGGGATGGGAGACCATGTCCCCACCATGGACCAAGTGGCGCCTCTACTCTTCACAAGAGACAGGCTCCTGAGGGCAGCAGCAGAGGCAGATGAGGGGACTGAAGACACAGGAGCAATGTTCTGCTCAGGCCACTTGACACCTTGATGCAAAGGCTATGGACAAATGGGCACGGCCCTTGGGCCTGTGGGCTGATCTGGATGGAGGCAGTGGCTCTAGCTGCTGCAAACTAGTGAAAACCTGGTGAGGGCTACACCCCAAACCAACCCCATCTGAATCTCTCTCTTTACATTGTAAAATATACATAAATTAACCATTTTAAACTTTAAAACTATACAGAGCAGTAGTGTTAAGTAAATTCGCAAATCACATCATTGTGTAACCAATCTCCAAAACCTTTTCATCTTCCTAAACTAAAACTGTTCTCATTAAAACACAAACTCCCCATTCCTCCCTCCCAAGCAACAGTCTGGCATGCACCATTCCACTCTGTCTCTGTGGATCTGCCTCCTCTAGGGACCTCTTGGGTGGAATCACGCATTATTTGTCCTTTGTGGCTGGCTTATTACACTGCAGATAATGCCCTCCAGGTTCATCCATGTTGTAGCATGGGTCAGAATTTCCTTCTTTTCTAAGGCTGAGTACTCTTCCACTGTTTGGATGGACCACGTTTTGTTCATCTTCTCATCCATCCATGTACACATGGGTGATTTGGGGGCTTCAGTGCTTTTGAGGCTCCTGGGAGCACCAGGATGTGCAGCTGTGCGGGAGCAGAGCCAGTGGGGTGGGCACACCCCTGACTCCTTGCCTTGCATTGTCATGCGTGTCACCAGCCCCTCACGCCAGTGGTGTTCTCTGCTGTTATCAGGTCCAAACACCACTGCAGGAAGCTCCTCACTCCCTCCCAAACACCCCACAGGACCTGCCAGGGCTGCTTCCAGGTGGGCCCCACCCAGTGCATCTGGGCCACACAGGCCCATGCATCTGAGCCAGCCTGGGCTATGCACTTGACTGGGGGGTTGGGGGTGGGAGGGGTGGGAGGTGGTGCTAGCTCCCACTTAGAGGTTCCCTCATTCTGTCTGGTGTGCTATAACAATACAAGGACGCCAGCAAGGTCACAGCCATCTTGTTGGGGATTGTGGTCCCCAGTGTCATCAACCTGCTGCTGTTATCTGTAGTCCTTCCACTGGAAAAACCCATGTTTTCCTTCACGTTTCCTTCAAGTACTGCCGCCTTCCCTAACTCGGGTGGGGGAGAATGGAAGAAGTCTAGGGAAATCATGCTTAAGAAGCCAAACTCAATTCACACGGTTTGATAAGGGTACACTATCTGAAATTAGGAGTGTGTAAGAAGTCATGCGTTTGCTCACCAATGCATTCCATTCACTGCCAGGCATTGGGCTGTAATTAGATACAGACATGACTCGTGGCTTATTGGGAGGAATCCTGGGGTGCATGCATCTAATAAGCGGCATCTAATACCACATTAATAAGCGTCCAGCCTGCAGGTACCCCTCTATAGGCCCAGCTATGAGGAACAGATAAGAGCAGCTCTGTGAATGCCCTCTCAGAGCTGCTCGGGGCAACCAATGCAGGTCTCAATTTTAAAGGGTGCTCTCACCATAACACCCAACGTGGCTAGGGAGCCCTGCTGGTAGCCCCGCCCACGCCCTGACAGGCTCCGCCTCTCCCCCGGAGGCGGGGACGGCCCCGACCAACCAGAGGTCCCAGAACATGCAAATCAGGCTCCGCCTCCAGAGGGATGCGTTTTCCCAGACTCCTCTGCTTCTCACGTGAGCCCGGACTGGACAGCGGGCGTCCCCAGCGCTCTTCCGCTCTCGGTTCGGAAGTAGAGACCCCCGCGCCCCGCGCGTGGCGCCGGAAGCGCTTGAAGAAGGAGCGGGCCCGCCGGAAGCTGCGCCCTCCCCGCGGCCCACCTGCCCGCGGCACCGGAAGTGGTCGTGGGCCACGCGGCTTCCGGCCGTGGGGTTGTGGTCGGGGCTGGGTTGCTGGGGCGGCTGACCGGTGCCGGGGCCCGGGCCGGGGGCTGGAGCGCTTATGGCGGAGGGCGGCGGGCCCGACGGGCGGGCCGGACCTGGGCCCGCAGGTAACGTGGGCAGCCGCGGGGCGTGTGGCGAGAGCCGGGGTGGGTGGGTCCGGTGCCCCAGCTCAGGGGCCAGGCAGCCGCACCCAGCCAGGCCCTGCGTCCTTGTTCCAGGGAGCCGCCAGTGAGTCGCGCCCCCCGAGGTCCTCAGCGACCCCTGCTCGGGTGGACAGCCCTCGCGCTGGTTTTCTCTCCCACGGAACTGGCCTCGTAACTGCCATCTCGTTAGCCGGTACGGGTCTGATCGTGACTCCAGCTGTAGAGTGGGACCTGTGTCATCTCCCAGCCTTGAGCGCACCGTTCACGACAGACCCCAGGGGTCAGCGCTCGGGACGTCCGGGGGTACAGGGGGGGCAACCTCCCACAGACTGCGACGGCGACAACGCCGTCCCCAGAGAGCTCGTCAGTGACACAGCACGTCCAGCGGCCCCCCCAGCAGAGAACGACTCTCACTGGCCGTCCAGAGCAGCCCCTGGCACGGGGTCTCCACCTTGCAGAGCTGCCACCACGCAAATGCGAGTTTGCTAGAGAGGTTCCCGCTTTCCCCGCGGTGGGATCCCCTCCTTGGCTTTCAGAGCTTCCCATGTGGGCTAAATGCTTTGCGTGCCCACTTGTGTTTTTGGAGAGGCACATGTCCAAAGAATTTATTACTTAGTAATAATCGAAGACACATTACTGCAACTCTTTTTTTTTTTTTTTGCGATACTGGGGTTTGAACTTGCAAAGCAGGCGCTGTACTGCTTGAGCCACGTCTAGTCCGTTTCGCTCTGCTTATTTTGGAGATAGGGCTCCGAAGTATTTGCCTGGATTGGCCTCGAACTGCTATCCTCCCAATCTCAGCTTCCCAGGTAGCTAGGATTACAAGTGTGCAAAAACCTTAGAAGTCCATGTTGGTGACTTGGAGATTGGTGCAGGGAGCCTTTCCATCCCTCCCTCCCTCCATTCATTCAAAAAACCTATATTGAGGACCTGCTGTTGGCAGGACTTAGCTGGGCTTATCACAGTGAACAGAACAAACTAGACAGATCCCTACCGTCCTGGGCATTGGTTGGTTTTGACTTTGACCCCAGGTCAAGATCTTATGGTATGGAATGTCATCTCGTGCAAGAGTGAGAGATGGGAATGAGGGCTGTTTAGTTGGAAAAAAAGGACAGACAGCTACTTCCTTTCATAGGCAGGGGTTCTGTGGAAGCACCATCGCCTCTGCCCTACACCCACTTTTCCTTAGTGTGTTTTTGGATTGGGTAGAGAGCAAGGCTTAAGTGCTGTCCTGGAATTGTCATTGGAATGACAATTCAGATCAGAAAAATGCAAACTTGAAATTGTCTTTGACTCTAGAACTGGGGAAGGTTCTGGGGGTGCATAGAGCTGGTGGGGGTGTTGAAAAGAGGCCAGCAAAGGGAGGTCCAGAGGTCTTGGTAAGTCCAGTCGCTCCCACTTGCCTAACATCCGAGTCTTTCCCATTTCTGCTTTGAGCATTTTCATCCTACCATAATTGTGCCTATGGGGCAGTTACAGTGGAGGGTAAAAACTGAAGGAAGCCTGGGGTCGTAGCTTGAAGGCCTGTTCTGGGCTTGATGTTTGCTTGTTGATCTGATGCAGGTCTGGTCATGGGATCAGAGTGAGGGACATGTGTTTGTGAACCTTGCTGCTGCCTGTCGCCTTTGGTCTTATCTCTTGCAAGGGATTGTCAAATCCTGGAGGGCAAGGATGCTTACTCAGCATCCCTATTGTACCAAGGCCAACTCTTGTGTACAGTAGGTATTCAAAGGAGACTTGATTTGACTATAAAGAGAAGTTCAACATATGGCAAAAGCCTGCTTCTGGAGGGATGTGCTTTATAACTGCAGGACAGCATGGCACTTGAACTCAGCAGTCTGAGTTCACGCTGTCTGCTTACACACCTGCCAGGGCAGCTGTCTTTACAAAGCTCTTTTATTCTCTGGAGTTTATTTTGGGCTGTTGTGTGAGTGAAGATTCAGTTATTTCCAAATAGGAATTTAATTGTACAAATGCCATTTGTTGAATACACTTCCATCTTCTCTGATTTTGTTGCCCACTTATCACAAATTAAATTTTTTATACAAAGGTCTTTCTGAGCGGTTGATTCTGTTTTTTTTCTTTTTTTTTTTAAATTCTAATGAGAGTTCTGTTATCCGGTATGGTAGGTGTCTTCTCACTACTATTAATTAAAAAGAACAAAAAAGCTATTCTTTATTTGTATTTCCAAATAAACTTAGGAATAGTTTTATCATATTTGATATCAAAACTCCAAATAGATTGGGTAAACCTCATTTATTGATAAATTAAAATTTTCTCTAATGTTCAGTCTTTCATTTCAGTACATGGTGTGGTTTTTCTGCTCATGGTATTTACTGTCTTGTTTTATAGGTCTGGGTTTATATTTATATACATATGTTTTAGTTTTCCTTTTTGTTGAGATATAGTTTCTGTACAGCAAAGTATATCCATCATAGATTTACTGTCTCTGTTAGTCCATTTTCGTTGCTATAATGAAATCCCTGAGGTAGACAAACTTTATAAAGAAAAGAGGTTTGTTTAGCTCACAGTCTTGGGGATGAAAGTCCACATAGCATGGTGCAGGCCCTGATGAGGGCCCCTCCCCTTGTCTGTGTCACCCTGTGGCAGATAGCAGTGCTGGTAGCAGGAAAGGGAGAATGTGGTCACATCATTAAAGAGGAAGCCAGAGACTGGGTTCCTGGTGAGAACGCACTAGGGTTCCAAAGGTACTCTCCCACTGACCCTGTGACCTCCTGTGAGGCAGAACACTGCGCTGTCTCCCAATACTTGCCTTCAACAAATGAACCTCTGGGGGTACAGTAGCACGTCTGATGAATTGTTTCTGGTGTAGACACCCTTGTGTCTGCAGCTTGGTAAGGGATGCATGTTGTAAGTAGCAGCATCCCTTCCTTGGCCTTTGGGTGTTGCTAATCAGTGTCCCTTTGTGGTGAAGGAGGTAGCTATCATTCTCCCTCATAGTTCCTCCGTTTTAAGATAGACTTATATACTTGGGATAAATCAGAGTAATTGCATGCTAGATTTTTTGGTAAAATATTTTTTATTGCAGTTTGCTAGTACTTTTTTTAAGTTTCTTGTGGAATACTAATTCTGAAGTAGTTTGGCTCATTGTTCCCCGGGCCCATCATCTTTTTAAAATTTTTGTTAAAGTAGGTGTAGGGAATGTGCTAGTTTGATAAGGGAAAGATTTTTAGCTTTTCTATGTCTTATTTCTTGGGAGTTTGAAAAGTACCCATGAAGCTGGGCAGGAAGGACCTGTTGCAGATGGCATCCCATTTGGTTGGCCTTAGCGAGGTTTTTCTGCACTGACAGGAGCCCCTCTCTTCAGTGCAGGTCCTAATCTGAAGGAGTGGCTAAGGGAGCAATTTTGTGACCATCCACTGGAGCACTGTGAGGACACGAGGCTTCATGATGCAGCGTATGTGGGGGACCTCCAGACCCTCAGGAACCTGTTACAAGATGAGAGCTACCGGAGGTGAGTGTGGCTGCTTTGTGCTAGCCCAGGTACTCGGGCCCTGTGGGTCTGTGTGAATCTGAGCCTCATGGTTTGATCTGCAGATGAAGACCCTCATGCTCAGAGGAATGCTTTACAGTTGTAGAGGACGGAGATAAAGGGAGAGTGAGGGAGGTTGGTTAAAGAGTTATAGGCGATGGCTGAATAGTGTGGGCAAGGGAGCTGTGTTCAAGTCCAGCTCCGTCACTGACCTTTCTATTCTCTGAGAACTTCTGGTCCTCTCTGGTCATCACCTTCCTCAGTGTTATTCTCAAAGGTATATTATTCCTGAAGGCATCACTGTTACCCTCTTCAGTGGCCCTGTGCCTCTGAGTCTCCTGTGGGTCTTTAGCCCAGGAGGTCCTGGGTGTCCACAGCCATCTTCTTTGGTTACGTTCATTTGGTGCTCTCTGCTCCTTCATTTTCAGGCCACGTGACTCTTTGTTCCCGGGATATGGTGAGCGTTCTCCCTCTTGTTCCCCTATCCATAGCCTCTTGCCTTGCCAAATCCTGCCAGTCGCCACACTGGCCCCAGCTCTCCATTTATAGCAAAGGGTCCTGCTTCTTCATCTGCCTATGTAGGACACTGGGAGAGCACCCAGCCTTCCTTCTCTCTGGAGTCTCCTTGATTGCTTTGTGCTCCTGAGATGGGAGTTCCAAGTAGATTTTGAAGCCAACTGCAACTGAAACCCATCCATCTTTTTTTCTGTTTCTGCTTCTCATTGAGGACTAGAATAGCAGCGCTGACACTACTGTTTTCTGTGATGGTCCCCAGGAAGGACTTCTAGCAGTCCCTGAGTGTGGCCCTTTCTTGTGCTTTAGTGTCTTAGCATTTTTTTCATCAGACTAGTCATCGGTATTTTAAAAAACTCATTTTCTAACTGTATTTAATGTGACTCAAGAACCCAGTGCCTTAATTAAACTTGGGATGTAACAGTAGACAGTTCAGCGAAGTCCATATTGCTTTTTCCCGGGCTTTTCCCCTTTTTTTCTTAAACTCAGGTGCAGTGATTCTACTTTGTCTTTAAGACATTTTTCTTTGTTGTTTGTTTCTCTGTGGTGAGTTACTGGGGGCTCCTGACTTTATAGGCCCACACAGGACAGTGTGCAGCTGAAGGAGCACCACTGAGATTTGGGGAGGTGCTGCTCACTTGGCTTTTTCCTGAGGCTGTGGTTCAGGGTTCAGGGTTCTGGGTTCGGAGATTTGTTCCAAATTCTTTTGGAAGCTAGAGGTGAACCATACCTCATTTGCTGATCACGAGGGTCAGTAGATGGCAAAGTAGCTGGCATCAGCTGGCATCTGATGGTCACACTCCTTGAAGACTGAGTCAGGTTATTTTGCCACTGCTTCTGGCGAGAAGTGAAGCCCCCATGTCACTTTAGAGATTCTGCAGGCTCTCCCTTATGCTGGGCCAGGGTTAAGGGACATAGTGGTTTTCACTGGTGGTCATAGGTGAAAGGGGACTCAGGGCACTGACCCAGCTTCCCAGGTGAGTGCGCTGTCCATCCTGACTGCGTCCCTGTGGTCCCTTCTCACTTTGCAGAGGAGTGTCCTTTGGAATGTGGTCAGGATGTCCAGGAGCTAGAAATCTCGTGCAAGTGCTGCACATCCTCCCTGAGCCTGGAGCTTCCTCACTTGCAGAATGGGGCTGTCAGTGCCTACCCAGCCCTGCGCAGGTCAGCAGGGGAAAACCGTTAAAGCATTTCGGAAAACAGAACATAGTGGAGGCATGTTAAGCCCAGGGGCTGGCTGCCTGGGTGACCGCCCTTCTTGAGAGTCTCTGTCACCCCACCCATGTGAAGGAGGCAGAGCCGTCTGTCCGCTTCCTGGGGCGCCTCTCACCAGCTCCCTGTGTTCCCTGTAGCCGCATCAATGAGAAGTCTGTCTGGTGCTGTGGCTGGCTCCCCTGCACACCGTTGCGAATCGCAGCCACTGCAGGCCATGGGAACTGTGTGGACTTCCTCATCCGCAAGGGGGCCGAGGTGGACCTGGTGGATGTCAAGGGGCAGACTGCCCTGTATGTGGCTGTGGTGAATGGGCACCTGGAGAGTGCCCGGATCCTCCTGGAAGCTGGCGCTGACCCCAACGGAAGCCGTCACCACCGCAGCACCCCGGTCTACCATGCCTCTCGCGTGGGCAGGGCCGACATCCTGAAGGCTCTCATCAGGTCAGTGCCGTGGCGCCTCCTGGGTCCTGAGCCACTTTCTGCCTCCTCATTTTCTGTTTGCTTTTCTCTCCCTTTAAAATTAGATTTGTTAGGGGACTTGGCAGTTTCTCTAGTCTTTTAAAAGCTTTCAGTTCTCTTGTTTTTCTGCAAACTGATTCATTTGTATGTATTTTAATTTTTTCTACTTTGTGAGGTGGATGCTTATTTTATTCTTGATCAATAGTAAAAGCTTTCAGAGTTACTAGCTTACATTTGATAATAACATTGGCAATATCCTCTTAAGTATCTTATTTTTCAATAGCTGTAATCAAAGTTGTTTCTTCTTTGGTCTTAGAGTTATGGAGGAGAAAGTTGTGGTAGTACATTTTATGAACCTTTTTATGAACCTCTGATTTTGTTGGACCCTATAGCGTCCATTTTGGAGATTAAGGTTTTAAAGATTATTTATTAATATTAAACTGTATTGTTGTGAATGCTTGGAACAAAGCCCATGACCATGGGTGTTTGGTTTGCATAGTTCTGGATGTTAGTCCAAATTCAGAGTACCTCCTTGTTGTTTACGTTTCTGTGGTCACATCTGCCCTCATTTAGGGAAAAGTGAATCTAATCACCGTTGACATTTGTCCCTTGTATTTCAAATAGTTTTTGTTTTGACTGTTCTGATGCTAATTGAGCTCATGCAAGTTGTTGCTTATGGATTATGCCCCCTGTGCAAATGAACACTGTTGATTTAATTTGAGGCTTATTTACATAGCATTATGTAGTATTTAGTCTTAAGTGGCCTTCAGTATTTCTATGTATGCTCATATTTGTCTAGAATAATTTTTGTTAAACACAGTAGCAGGGTTACCATAGCTGATATTAGGGTCTATTCTGTTATTTTTCTGTTTCTTAGCCATTTCCTTTGTTTATGTCTTTTGTTTCCTTTGCTTTCCACTTTCATTACTTTAGAAGGTTTGCAGTCTTGTTTTAATTGTACTAATAGGTAACTTTTACTTACTTTGTTTGAGTCATTTGTGTTTCCAATTTTCATGTGTCCAGTGACTTCTTTTCTATCACAGATGTGTTTTTCCTTCTTTTACTTGGGAGATCACATGGTTCAGGTGCAGTTTAGGTAGCTGGTTCCTAGTGACATTGTTTCATATAGAAAAGGATTGGGTAAGGGTCCTGTTGTTTGAGGCTACCATTAGTGGGGTCAAGTGAGCATTCCTTTTGCCTGATACACAATGTGATTATTTATTTATGTATATATTTTTTGGTGGGACTGGGGTTTGAACTCAGGGCTGAGTGCTTGCAAAACAGATGTTTTACCACTCCTCCAGTTCATTTTGCTCTGGTTATTTTGGAGATGGGGCCTTACAAACTATTTGCCCTGGCTGTCCTCAAACTGTGGCCTTCCAGATCTCAGCCTCCCAAGTAGCTAGGATTAAAGGCACGAGCCACCAGTGGCTGGCCAGAATGATTTTTAAAGTAGATAGTGAACATATATTTATTCCATTAAAAGGTTTATGTACTAAATGATTGTAGAGTTGGTTTGGGAAAGATAAGCAAGAGCAGTAAGCTTTTATATTAGAAGCTGATAATTGAAGCTGAGGCTTTCTCTTTTTAAGGATTTCTAGCCTGACAATGTTAAGTTACTTCAGTTCTATATTGCTGCATCTTGGAGAATGTAGGCATTAATTTGGAAATGTTTTTGATAGGATCAGTCAATGAAATTCTGCTTTGGTTCCGAAATCCCTTTGGGAATTTCACTGAACTGATAGACAACCGTTTTGAGTTGCCTACAGACTTGACCATGAGAAATGCACGTATAGATGCCCTTCTTGAGAAAACCTAATGACACATCCCGAGGAACAGGGCAGTGAGGTACCAGAAGCATGTATTATTCTATTAAAAGTTTTTCTATAGTCTAAATTCCAAGATGATTGACTTATGGAAAATGGGATTGTGATATTGTTAAGTTACTAATCACGTAATATTACCAGACTGTAACCTAAACTTAGCTTCTGCCTTTCAGTGTCATTACTCCCATAGGCAGGGCTGTCATCTTTCTGCTATAATTTTCTGGCCTTCTGTAAGTAACCTTTGTTTTCTTCTTTGTAAATTCCTGTGGTATATATTGCTGATATTTTAGAATGAAAGGCAAGAGTGGTATTTTTGTATGTGCAAAAGTTATGTTGATTTATTGGGTTGTACATTTTATTTTTTGCCAAAGATACTAAAACAAAAGGAACTTGGAAAATATTCAGGATTAAAATTAACTGGATCGCATCCAGTATTTTTTTTTATGCATGTTCTAAACTGCTCCCACGACTCAGCTAATACCAGCTTGTCTTATTGCCCAGGCTGCATGGGATTTTACTTGGTCCCATTACTGCAGATGTTCACTTTGATTTTTTGATTAAGGTGATGCCTTCCCTGGCAAAGCACCGGGTACCTGGCTGACCCCTGTTTAGACTAAAAGTGATTGGTGGTATGCGCTTGGCCTGAGAGAACTAACTGTAAATGCTGCTAGCCTTTTATTGGCTGTCTCTGAGCGTGCACAAGCTCTGCCTGTGGTGTCATTTAGAGACTGGTTGTGATGGCCTCTGTGCCTGCTCTGTGGGAGATTGGCTTCCTTACATCTGGGCCGTCCTTGGGGGTCAGAAGGGGTATAGCACTGATTGCCACGCGTAAGTGTGGAGTGCTGCGTGATGCTGTCGTGCTGGTGAACTGTGCTTCCTGCCCTAGGTCCTTGCCAGTGTGTCTGGTGCAGGGAGTGTTCTGTGCTAAGTCTGTGGGTTGAGCTTTCGGTGCACCTGAAAAGAGGATCCATAGTGTTGGGGAGAATACGATGGCACAGCTAGGTATGCAGTTGGGTTCATTGGTTTCTCTTGCTTTTACTTTTTAGAGATTGCTTTTTGCTTAATTTTGTTTCAGTATGTAAAATATTTACATGGCTCCAAATCAAATCTATAAAACAAGGTATATTAAAAAAAGTCTGACTTCTAACTTTGTTTCCTTTGTCCTGTGTTCTCTCCCTCCCCATATAATCATTTCAAACTTCTGTGGTTTGTCCTCTATTACTGTTAGAAATGAGCAAATCTTTATGTCTGAGTATGGTCCATATATTCACACAGGCAACCTGTAAGATAAACCTATACTGGATACATTATCATCCTGCTTTTTTCAGTATTCATCTTCCAGAGCACATGTGCATATGTAGCAATGTTTCTTATTCTTTTCCTAGGTTGTGGTTCTGCTGCTTGCAAATGAATCAAGTATTCCCTATTGACGGAGGTTTTCTATCTTTAGCTGTCATGGAGAGTGCTTTAATGAATTGCCTGTGCCTTCATAGTTTTGCACATATCTTGGGAATAGAGCTCAAGAAGTGTGATCGATGGGTCAAAGGGTAAATGTATCTGTAATTTTAGTAGCAATTGCCAAATTCCCCTTCACAGAAAATTTCCCAGCAGTGAACAAGAGAGCCCTTCTGTTCCCTTAAAGCCTGGCCAATACACTTTTGAATTTTTCCCAGTCTGATAGGCGAGAAGTAGCTATTTTAGGTTATGGTATTTTTTCCTATTTTTTTTGCAGTCCTAGAGTTAGAACTCAGGGCCTCATGTGTGCTGAGCAGGTGCTCTACTACTTGTGTCTCCTTGCCAGTCTTTTTTTTTTTTGTGTGTGTGTGTGTGTTGGATATTTTTGAGATAGGATCTTCCTTTTTGCTCAGGCTAGCCTCGAACCTCAATCTTTCTGATCTCTGCCTCCCAAATGAGCCACCGGTGCCCTGTTTTCAGCTCATTTTTTAACAGCACTATTAGCTTTTGTTGTTTAGAAGCTCTTGTGTGTTGACGAGCATAGTGGTGCATGCCTGAATTCCAGCTTCTTGGGAGGTGGAGATGGCAGGATTGTGGTTCAAGCCCATCCTGGGCAAAACCACAAGATCCTATGTGAAAAATGAGCTGAAACCAGTCTGGGTGTGGCTCCAGTGGTAAGCTGCTTGTCTAGCTAGTGCAAGGCCTGGAGCTCAGTCCCAGTGCCTCAACAAACAAAAACAGTGACTAAGGAGAAAGGCAGAGAGCCATCCTAGCTTTACAAACTGTGCTAAGGGCCTTAACCCTGTATAACATCATTTTCTCAATATTTAGTTCATTGTTTTACTTAGTTATGCTGTTTTTTTTTTTCTGGACACATGTAAGTTTTTTGTTGATTTTTGTGTTAACATTATCTTTCTGGATTTTGTGTTACCAGATAAGATGGCAAATTCTACCTAGAAGTTTTCTTCTAGCTTTTCTATGGTTTGATAGTTGACATTTAAAATTCTGATCTGTTTGGAATTTGTCCTGGTGTGTGTAGTGATGAATGGGTTTAATCTTTTTTCATACAGACATTCAATTATCTGGAAAAACTCTTTATCTGTCTGTCTATCTATCTGTCTGTCTGTCTATCTATCTATCTAAAGTCTATTTATCCCCATTTCCTTGAGATGCCACCTCACCATGTACTAAATTTGTGTGAGGTCTGGTCAGTTTCTGGATTCACTGTACAGTTCTGTGGTGCTTTGTCCGTGTGCTGACAGGTGACTCTGTTTCATCTCCTAGGCCTTACAACAAGCTTAACGTATGCTGGGATTGCCTCTCCTCATTATTGCTGAGCTCGCCTGATCCTCCAGATGAACTTTATGATCAATTTATCTCCCTCCAGAGATGTCATTTATATTTGTAATCAATTTAATTGGTTCAGGAATGGCATTTTCATTTATAAACTTGGCACCCTAATATTTTGAATTTCTTATTCAGTACTTGGTATGTCTTTCCATTCTCTTAGGTCTACTTTTGTAACTTTCACTAGTATTTTGTCATTTCCTCATGCAAACTTGGAACCTTTTTTGTTCAGTTTATGCTTAGGTAGGTCATTTTAAACAATTGTTTTCCTATCATCAAGGGCATCTTGTACTTTATCTTTAAACTTACTTTTGTATAAATAGATGGTTATCAGTTTTATCACCTGCTACTTTAATAAATTCTCTCATTGCTTTTTTCTTTACTATTTGTTTAGGCCCTTTCAGACATTGTAATCATCCTCTGAGTACAGGAAGCATTTTACTTCTTGTTCATCAGGTTGTCTTCCTTTGCCTAACTGCACTAACAGCATTGGTGTCGCAGAGAAGACTGGAACATGGGAGTCTGTGTTGTCTTCTTCTTCCTCCCCATCCCCGACCCCTATCACAGGGCAGCCTGAAGTGCTTGCCTGGAGATGCCAGCTTCTGGGTTTTGGGAATGTATTTTACCACTTTAAGGAAATAGCTATTATTTCTGCTCTACTGAGTACTTTTAAACTTGCATAAGTATTGAGTTTAATGATGGGCTTTTTTCCTTTTGCATTCATAGATATAATTGGGATTTCCTCTCTAGTTCCATTAATATGATGAATTATGATAAGAGTTTCTAAAATTGGAAGTAGCTTTGCATTCTTGGAATAACCCTTATGAGGTCACGGTGTATTGCTTTCTTATACATGTTCAGATTTTCTTTGCTAATATCTTATTGAAGATTTTTTTGTTTTTTAAACTCAGGGCCTATACTTTGAGTCACTCCACCAGCCCTTTTTTGTGATGGGTTTTTTTGAGATAGGGTCTTGCAAACTATTTGCCTAGGCTGGCTTAGTACTGCAATCCTCCTGATCTCTGCCTCCTGAATAACGAGGATTACAGGGATGAGCCACCGCTGCCTGGCTCTTAGTGAAGATTTTTAAATTGATATTTGTAAATGAAATTAGTTCTATTATGCTAATTTTATGATATAAATTTGGAAGTTTTCCTTCTTTTTCTTTGCTCTGAAATAGTTTAAATAGCCTTGGAGATCTGGAGTTTTAAAGGTCTGAAAGACTTCCTTGGGGATGTGTGTGGTGTGTTCTTACCTGCAACCTTACCTTGCTGGAAGTAATGAAGCTTCAGTCATCCCTTGGTATCTATGGGGGATGGGTTCCACAATCCCCTTGGATACCAAAATCTGAGGCTGCTCAAGTCTCTTATATAAAATGGTGTTGTTTTTGTATGTAACTGCCATATATCCTCCTCTGTACATTAAATCATCTCTAGATTACTTATAATATCTAATATAATGAAAGCAGTTGCTATGCTGCGTTGCTTAGGGAATAATAACAAGAAAATGACAGTGCAAGTTCAGTATAGGCATAATTTTTTCCAGATATTTTTGAATCCTTGGGTACGGAACCTGCAGACATAGAGAAGTGCCTGTATTTGTGGCCTGTGGAATCTCCAGTGGCTCCCAGGGTCACAGTATTAAGGCCTCCTCCAGAGTGACTGGGGAAGTCTTGGTGGATGGGTTGATCTGTTGTAAGGCCTGATTTTCCTCTCCCCTGTAGGTATGGGGCTGATGTCGATGTCAACCATCACCTGACTCCTGACACCCGGCCCCCTTTCTCAAGGCGGCTCACCTCCTTGGTGGTCTGCCCCCTGTATATCAGTGCTGCCTACCACAACCTGCAGTGCTTCAGGCTGCTCCTGCATGCAGGGGCAAACCCTGACTTCAACTGCAATGGTCCTGTCAACACACAAGAGTTCTACAGGGGATCCCCTGGGTGTGTTATGGATGCCGTCCTGCGTCATGGCTGTGAGGCAGCCTTCGTGAGCCTGCTGGTAGAGTTTGGAGCCAACCTGAACCTGGTGAAGTGGGAATCACTGGGTCCAGAGTCAAGAGGCAGAAGGAAGGTGGACCCCGAGGCCTTGCAGCTCTTTAGAGAGGCCAGAAGTAAGTGCTCTGAGCTCAGCTCTGACTTGTAGTCTTTTTTGGGCTGATTGAATCAACAAGATATAGTAGTAATTTAAAAACAAAACAAACTCCAGCTAAACAAAATCCTAAACTAAACTAAACAGTCCTCAATTAGGACTGGCAGTTTTCCAGAATGGCCACTGAAATTATGCTTCTCTTTAGCAATTCCTTGGCTCCAAGAGCAAGAGCTGATACCAGGAAATCTATGAAAATTTGTGTATGTTTTCCAGGTTCCTAGAATTACATTCTCATTACCCTTTTACTCTGCTTTGTGACCCCAAATTCTTAGAGACAGTGACTTCTTTTTCACATGGTTTTTAAATGAGCAGACTTGTAAGGCTGTTTTCTAGGGTTCCCCATTTCCTTTCCTTTAGTTCCAAATACCATTAGTTTGGATTGTGTGATAAGTCCAATTTTTGTTAGAATAAAATCTGGAGTTTGCTTATTGGTGAAGAAAGATTTTACTAAAGAATTAATAGATCAGGTCAGATGTGGTGACACACATCTTTAATCCTAGCTACAGGAGGCAGTGACAGGAGGATCATGGGTCAGGGCTGCCCGGGCAAAAATTAGTGTAAGGCCCTATCTGAAAAACAAACTAAAATCAAAAGGACGGGGGGCATGACTCAAGTGGTAGAGCCCTTGCCTGGCAAGCACAAGGCCAAGTTCAAACCCCAGTACCTTCAAGGGGAAAAAAAATTGAAATCAATGGCGAGAGAGTTTGGAATTGATCTGTAGCTTGGCCTTATTACCATAGCTTTCTTGGATTCAGAAATCACCTTCGAGTGTCTTTCTGCCCTACATCCTATCCTCATTCCTGCCTGGATTTTTTTCTCTAATCCCTTTCCTCTCACAAAACATTAACTTCAGTGCGTTATCCTTACTGAGTTTACCCAAACCAGCTCACTGAAGCATGCTCTTGTTTTGCCTTCCCCAGAATTTGCTGGTGGTCAGGTGGGAACCACATTGATAGAATAAAACTGCTGTGCTTGTTACTGTTTTACTTATCACTGCTTCATCAGCTGAGGCAGGGACTTGGCGATGCCTCTTTGACCCAGAGCAGGATCGCTGCGCCCTCAAGTTCTGTTCAGTCTGTGTGCTGTAACTCTGCTTGGTCTTTCTGGGACTGACCCAGGGGTTAGGGTCTATCGCTCACACCTGCAGGGACTTCAGTGAGCAGCTCTTATTTCTTTGCCTAGGGTGTGGGACGGGAGGAGATACAGAGGGAAGAGATAGTGTCCCAATGAGCAGATGCCTGTGTTCATGAGGCTGTGAAGATGGAAGGAGCAGATAACATGACCTTGCTCATAGTTCACTTGCTTGACTCAGAACAGGAAGTTGGTATGAGCAGTAGTGCGGCTTTGTTAGTCACAGCTAGCCTTTGCCCTTCAGAACTAGAATGGGAATTAACCTTCCTTCCTCCTCTTTCTTTCCTTGGCTCTCCAGGTATTCCCAGGACCTTGCTGAGTTTGTGCCGTGTGGCTGTGAGAAGAGCTCTTGGCAAATACCGACTTCACCTAATTCCCTTGCTGCCTCTGCCAGACCCCATAAAGAAGTTTCTACTTCACGAGTAGAGTTCAGAGGGGGCTGCTAGCAGCGAGGAAGACAGCAATCTCAGTGATAGCTGATGCAGACTGGGCATCCCATGAACCACATTCTGTGCTGCTGACTTGACCTGGGCTGTTGTTGAAGCAGAAATGTTCTCGTTCTCATGGATTGTATGTAATTCCATCTCAGGTGCTTGGGCCATTGAATGGTCCTTGGGTCATTGTCAACCGAGAACTTCATACAAAATTTAATTTTGTTTTTCCTGAATATCTCTGTTTTGGATTTTTGCACTTGCATATTAATGAGATAGGCCATGAAGTGTGTAAAGTGTGTGCTGAGGCTGGAGGCCTGTGACATCCCCAAGTGGGGAAGACTCTTAGCACTTTCCAGAACTGTGCCATTTATTTTTCTACTTTGCATCTTAATTGTTCTATTAAAGCCTATATCTAAATGCAAATGGGGTTTTGGTAACAAAACAAGTGGGGAGCAGAAACACAGTTCATGAAGTTGCTAGCATATTTTCCCACTCCTGGGTTAAGCAGTGTGTGCAGTCAGCATGCACACACCCTCCTGGGCTACTGCAGTGTTCAGTGCAGTGAGTTATCTTCATTCTAGGATAGGTTCTAGCTGCATACCCTGTCTGCTAGCTTCGTGTATGGAGGTCACAGTGCTGTGTCATCACACAGTACCTGTTCTCACACTTTTGTGCCTCACATCACACTGACAGGTGGCATGAGGGTTCTGTCTTTTCACTTTAGGGAGCTTCCAGACAGTGATTGATTTTCAGAGGCCTACATGGAACTAGCCATAAATGACTGCTTGCATTTTGACCAAGGACCATCCCAACAGCATTCACTGCCAGTTCTAATAGAAGATGACAGTGGAGTTACTCTCTTCAGTCCCTTAAATGTCAGAAAGTGAAAATTCAGGTTTGTTTTCTGAGTGGTTCTGAGCTTTTAGTTGCTTGGTGTCCACAAAACATCTGGCTCTTGCTCTTCCCTTTTGGGGGCCTAAATGTCTTGGTGGCTGCTTCCAGCATCTAAGAAGGGGGATAGAGTGAGGTCAGAAGTCTATCCCTGACATGCTCAGGGTTAGCAGTAGATGAGAGAGATGACTTTGCAGGCACCCTTGGCTGTGTGGATGGGGCTTGCTCTCCCACTCAGGATTGTGCAGCCAGGTGTGCAGGTCATTAGCAGGTGGCCAAGGACTGCAGCACTCCCAGGTTGCTGCTGTTTCCAGTGAAATCTTGTTTTGTCATTTGAAGCCTCTGAGAACCATTGTATGGGTCTGTGGTGATTCTAAGTTTTAGAAGTGCTTAGTAATGAGCAGATTTCAGAGCTCTTAGATTTTTTACCATAAGAGAAATCTAACTTGCAAAAATTAAACTGATGATATTTTGTTAATTATTAGCATCATGTTTTAGCTGAACAGACAGGCAGTGTATGTTCTACCTTTATGTTCTGTGGCTTGAGGATGGAGTTCTAAACCCCAGCCTCCAGGGTCATAGGCAGGCTCTGTGCAGGAACACTGAGCTGACCTGTGTGTGCCTGCAGGTGGATGAGGGGGAGCAAAGCTGCCAGTTGGTTCAGAGGGGAAACAGTGGTTGGAGCATTAACTCAGCTTAGTGACTTGGCTGAGGGCTGGGACTCTATGCTGAAAGTGTGACTGGGTTCCTGAGGCCTGGGCTGGCCTCCATGTTGCTCCTGTGGGTGGCTTAGGCTTTGGTCAGATTGAGGTCAGGAGAGCCTGCCCAGGAGTTGGCGTGATGGGGGCTGTGGCCTCTGGAGCATGTGCTGCAGGGCTCAGCCTGAGATGGATTGGGGTGTTCTTCACTCAGGCTGGGACTAGGACCATAGCTGGACTGTGACTGGGCCAGTAGCTCTCAGGGGTTAGGGAGTGATTATGTGGAGACTTAAGCCACCTGTGGGTAGTCTGACCATTCTGGAGGGGTCTCTCTTTACTGGAGATGGGTCAGCCTTGGCTTGTCACCTTGGTAGCTTTCAGGAGTAGGTAGTTAAGTCAATTCACTTTGAGCTCTTGACTGGGTAGGTTCCCAACTCTGCCCTTTGCCTCAGGAGAGGAGAGAGCAGGCTTTCTCTAGGTGGGCCAGGCTTACAGCACAGAGGCTGCTCCGCTGGGTGCTTTCTGTGAGGGCCTGCCCGTGATAGGATGGTGGCTCTGTTCTCAGACCTTCTGAAAAGCAACATTGTGATGCTGCCTGTGAAGGAGTTGTGAGTGCTCTAGCATGACCTGTAGGCTGTGCAGAGGCAAGGACCTAGGCCTGGCAGAGTATGTGTTTTCCCTTCTTGCTGAGTGCAGAGCTTGCTTCTGGGGTGTGGAACCATTTTCCCATGGTCTCTTGAAGAATGTATTGAATTGATCCTTGTAGTTGGGCCTTGTGTAGGTGTGACTGGGGAGTAATATGTCTAGGAGAGAATGAGCTGGGCCAGAGGCCTATTCTTGGTCTTCCCCTGGCATGTGTTGTATTCCGTCTGGCCTGTAGGTGGCTAGGGTCACAGCTTTCCACTTGCAAAGTGATCAGTTTTCCAGTCAGCTTCCCTTATAAGTTTTTCAGAACCACAGCACTTTGAGGTTCACCCTCTTGTTTGAAATTTCATAGCTGCCAAACGTGCATCTGAAAACCGCTTGGCAGCTAACTAAGGTCATTCCCCCTTACTTCTAGTGACGCGTACTTTACTAAAGTGCCCTTGTCTTTCTTGTCAAGGGCACAAGATAAGGAAGTTCTGACAGGGTAGCCTTCCACGTGAGCACTTTCTGGATCATGTTTCTAAGCACTGAGCACTATATCCCACAAGGATATGTGGTAGTACTTGGTGGGGCTGCTGCACCTACCCAGAGCTGTCCCCAAGAGAGGGGCCAGTGGCCTAGAAAGAAGGAGCCTCAGCCCATCCTAGGAGTGTCTGTCTGACTGTCACCACTCCCGGGGCCCCCACTGGCCCTGAAAAGAGCATGTACCCAGAGTCTTGGCTGTGGTGAAGAGATGGACCTGGCAGGCTAGGATGGGGTAATGTTGATACCTCAGTTATCTTTGGAGTCCTGGGGTTTTAGGTCTGTTTCCAGAAGTCCTGTGACTTTTTTACTTGTGTTGTTTATGTATTAATTTAATTTATTTATTTATACTCTGCCTTGTTCCAGAAAAGGCTTAAGGCAGAATGCTTGTCTATTGGTGTTCTGCTTGATATTAGATAAGTTTAGTCAAAATATACTTATTAAACAGGTAATTGGTACTTTCCTAATGTTGACTATGTTATCAGGCTTCAGTTTTTTTTCCTTCTTCTGTGAATTGATTCTTTATATAAACAGCAGCATTCATCAAACATAGGCCTGAGCTTAGGAAAACTGCCTGAGAGTATGCTCCAACCTATGCTCTGCTGCCACCCGCCAGTGTGGCCTGGCAGGTCCCTGGGAGCCGTGGAGGCTCCACTTTAGACAAGAAGAGCTGCCCACTGTGCCTCTCCCATGGGATTTGGTGAGGTCATGTGACATGTGCATACAAGCACTTTGTAGAGGAGCAGTCTCTGGCACATGGGAACTGCTGTTTTTGTGACTGTTGTCTCCATAGTGGAACTGCATTTGAGGCAGTGGCAGTTCTAGAAGATCTTGCCTATGACGTGAAGATCCGGGCTTGACCTTGTTTCCCTAGTCGGGCAGTGGGGTCACTGTTGCCCACGGTGTGGCATTGGGCAGAGAGGGCTCTACGCAGGTGAGAAGTATAAGGACAACTTAGAGTCAAATTTATTCAACCAACAGGATTCTCTTTATTCTGAGGTCATGTCCTCCTTTCTAATTGGATGGTAGAATGTCCTTTTCTAAAATGAAGTGATGGTAGAGGGCAGTGTTTTTGCTTTTTAAAATGCCATTGGTGGTATTGGTTTCTCTTTGTCAATCCCCAAAATTTCTTTTTAAGTTTCCCTGTTGTGGGCTGGTGGAGTGGCTCAAGCAGTAGAGCACCTGCCTCACAAGCAGGCCAGCAGTGGCCTGCTCTGCCCGGTGGTATCTGTGTAGCACCCATTGCTTTGTTTGGGTGTTGGGCACGCAGGTGTGATGTGTACTGGAGCCCATGTGCCTGAGACAGGCTGAAGAGAAACGCTCACTACCAACCGTCAGTTTCCCTTTGCTTTGGTGACGAGTGTGTGTTTGTCTGTAGTGGCTGTTATCCTGACTTTTGCCTAGTTAAGAGCTTTCAGAAGTACAATGGAAATTTTTGATATGTTATTTATAACTTTAATAAATGCTCTTTTCCCTTCTAATCCCCCCCCCAATGCCTTAAGAATTCTGTGGACTGTGTATCTTAATAGGTAGAAGCATTATCTGTGTGCAAACATGGCGCGCACAGTTGAAGAAGAAATTGGCTTTATGTTTCTACTTGCTCTGTGGACCTTGGGGCTCCAGGGATGGACCCAAAATGGTCTTAGACTGCCTGACAGCCTGTTCCACTTAGTGGCCATGGTTTCTGGATTGAAGAGAGTCGTGGCCCTAAAAGTGTTGTAATCTCCAGCTTTCCAGCTGACATTGTATAGCATTTTGTGAGGTGCTGAGGTGATGGGAGGCTCTCATTTCTGGCCTCTGTTATATGTGACTTATCTTGCAAGTGGGAGGGTGAAGGTGTGGAGCTTTGGGATGAGCCCCAGAATGAATGAATTGAATAAAGATATTTATTCATCTTGAGGTGCTCCCTGGCCTGTCCTCTGTGTCTGCCCTCTGAGGTGTTTTCTTCGTCCCTCATACCCTCCTGAGCTTTGGAAAGCAAGAACTCATCACAGGCTGCCTCAGCACTTCTCTGTTGGGTTTGTATGGCAGAGGGTACTACTTTGCATTCACCATTTGCTCCTTCATCTGCAATAATAGAACTCTTAGTTTGGGGATGGACACTTAGGTTCTCACAATAAAGGCTGTACTTCTCACCACAGCTAAATGTGGTCATTTACTGTTACTCCTCCTTAATCCCATTGAAATGATAGGGTTTTTTTTAAAGCTTATATTCACTAGGATGACTAAAAATAACAAAATCTGGAAACTTTTAAGACAGTGGGTGAATGGTAACTTGTCTTAGAAACACCTGAGAAAGTGACATTGTAAGAAAGGAGGACATAAGAGAATCTGAGCTCCCAGAGGCTTTGGGAATGGCCATTCCAAGTCCACTGGGAGTGGTCGAGAGAGGGCAAATGGCCTTTTCAAGAAACAGACAGTCTCTCTACTCCAGTGATTGGGCAGTTGTGCCTCCTTCATCCCAGTGAGAGACCAAAAGGATGTGCTGCCAGACTCAGCACAGTATGTAAAATCCTCTGTGCTCGTGCCCTCCAGGCAGGAAGTGAATGAAACAGAAAGAGACTTATTTGAAGAATCACACAGACCAAAGGAAGGACCTGAAGATACAGTGATGCCAAAGAAACGATCACACACCTTACAGTGTGATCAAATAACTCAAGAGAGTCTGAGCTCTATGGCTGTAAGTTTCCAAATTACCAAGGTTAACTTGATAGTAACACGAAGGAATGGTAAAACCCTTTGACAAAGCACATCCCTGTGAAATTTTACAACACTGAGGAACCTATGGAGGAATAAACAGTATGCATACAAAGTACCAGGAATTGGAATAGCTTGAGAGTTCTGCCACAATGGAAAGAGAAATGTGAACCAGATTTCTGAAGGGAAATTATTTTCAGGAAGATTAAAAGTCATGCTGAAAGATTTGTAGGCACTCTTAAAACCTTACATTCCAACATACCCTTTCTTAGGAGATTATTAGAGGGTATACCCCCGATGAGGGAGCAAACCAAGAAAGGAGAGAGGCAAGGTGCCAGGCATAGGGGACAGTCAGTCTAGGTTGGACGTTAGGTCCAGGGAGACTCTTCATAAAGGGCACGTGTTGCCTCTGAACATGGTAACAGATGATTTAGGTGGGCGTCCGGGTTTAATTGACACGTCTCTAGAAAACCAAGGAACATAACTCAGAAAAGCAAGTTGAACAAGAAGGAAGAAGTTAAAGTAATGTCACCATATGACAAGTGTAATTAGCATATATGTATACCTTATAGGGTAATAGCATACATGGAATGGTGGCACTGCACTTAGCCAGGTTAAGATAAAACTGTCAGGAGAATGGAGGATGGGCAGAGGACTGATGAGAAGTGTGTGTGAGTGGAAGCTGTATCGTCCCAGCTTTCCACAGGGAGAGGCCAAGAAGAAAAAAACACCTAACAGGAAAAAAGTCTGAAAACTGGTAAGGCTGCTAAGCCAAGTGAATCTGAAGAGAATAGAAAGGGGACACTAGTAATGAGCAGAAATTCATTAAAAACACCCCAAGTGTACAGCAAAGCCCAAGGTTGCTTCTTTCTAAACAAAATTGATAAACCCGCACAGATAAAAAGACTGACTAGTGTCGTTAAACATTTTTTATAGGTATGCACCACCACACCTGGTCCTTAAAGGGTTTTTATTTAAACAAACAGATCATGGAGATACTAAGATAAAGAGGGTATCATAAGTGTAAAGATATTGTATTATAAAGAGAATATTTTCCTGCCAGTAATTACATTTATTATACTATTTGTACACACTTTAAAGCTGTACAAAAACACTTTATATTTCTATGAAATAACAGATAACATGAGAATTAGATTTTGGTAACTTCTGAAGGAAGAAAGATTACTTGGAATGGTGGTAGTGAATTAGATACTAAAGAGAATATTTAAATGTGAAAATTTAGAAGAAATGGACAAATTCCTAGAAATGTATAGTTTATCAAAATTAAGCCTGGACTGGGACTGGGATTGTGGCAACCACTATTCCCATAGGAGTGGCATTTGAGTAGTTGTCACATGACAGAACTGAAGCCCCACCCCATGGTGAAAATGCCAAGGTGGTGTGGAGACTGCCTGTACCCACGAGAGGGTTGCTGTGGTCTGGACCGGCGGGAGGTGTTTGGGTCGAGGGGGCTTTGGCCTCGTAAGTGGGCCGATGCTGTCTCATGGGAGTGAGTGAGTTCCCTCCTGTGGGACTGGGGTCGTTACCATGAGTAACTGGTTAGGAAGCAAGGCCGCCCCTCTATTTTGCCTCCTTTGCTCATGCATACTCTGCCTTCCACTCCGAACCTTATTTGAAGCAACACATGTCCGTAATTAGCAGATGTGGCTGCCCAATCTTGGATTTTCCAGCCCCAGAATTTTGAGCCAAATAAACCTTTCTTTGTAAACCACTCAGTCTCAGGTATAGTGTTACAGCAACAAAACCAAGACTGGACATTCATGAATGTTCAGTAACTTTCGTGTAAGTGCACAGAATTCTCAGGATCCCCAGACCTGTGTCTCATCGCCACGCTCACTATCAGAACAAATGATCTATAGATTTTATACTGATTGTAACCTACTCCAGAGCAGGAATTTTATTGGGTTGCCCTGGGCCAGTGGTTCATATTGGAAGAATAGGAAACCACTTGTCAGCGTGGGGGAGAAATTTCCCAGGAAGATGGCTGCAGGGGACAGCATTGTACTTGCTGGGAATCTGGCTGCAGCAAACTGGGCCCCTTCTGGAGTGATGTGCAGGTGCCTGGGCTGAGCCTTTTGGGAAGCCAGCTAGGATACCTGCAGATGGCATCCTGGAAGCTGCCTGCTGGGTGCTGCCAACCTTGAGCTCCACTAGGGAAAGTGAGGGGGAAGCAGGAAGATGGATCCTGTCCTCTTCCCAGTGTGCCTTCAGCGCCACCTGCTGACAAGCTCTACTTCCTGCCTGCTGTCCTTGAAGAAGTGGATCAGGATCCCTGCTGAGCCCTGGAGAATGGATTGGGAGGTGTGGAGGAAGGTTTGCCTGATGGGCTCATGGAGGCAGTGCTTCAGGTTCTTCCTTAATGGCACCCGGCCTCCTTTCATTCCCATGCACTGAGCTAGGTCCGGGGATTGATAGAGACTGTTACTATTCACAGATGTGGTTCAGGTTTTTGGCTCCCAGACCTAAACTAATCTTTCCTCTCTATCTCGTTTTTCAATTAGTAAATTTGTATTTCTAGGGATACCATGTTTAATTGGCCTTTGCTAAAGGCCAACAGGGCTATGGACGAAGGTATTTTGGTTACCACGCACACCTGATACTCTCCCTTGCAGATGCATCTCACTTGCCTGTGGTGGTCAGGGCCTTCCATTCAGACTCTGCTCCAGGATCCCATCTTCCCTTTGAAATCAGAGCCCACCTCAGTGGCAGCACCCTGCCATTGCATCTGCTGCCAAGGAGAGCTGTCTCAAAGCTTTCCAGGGATGCAGATGTTCCTCATAGGCTGCATTTCAGTGCTTTGTGGAGGGAGTGCTTCTGGCCTTCTGCAGTTGGGAGGTAGCTGTGCAGGTCACACACATTAATTACCAGTCCTGCATTCCTGTCTCCCTGTGTCTCCTTTGGAATCTTTTCCATGCCAGGGAAGCCCTAGCATTGCAACCTTAGTGAGTGCAGATCAGTTTTGAGTTCCTCTCTCAGCCAAACAAATAAGTTGTTAGAGCCACTCCAGCTGCCCAAGTGAAAACATTAAATCTAGGCAGTATAGTAACTTCCTGTATCAATCAATTTTGTCTGCTCTGGTGTTCTAGTCCACCTTCCTTGATCTAGCACGCTTAGAATCCACTTCCACATGTTTCCCACATTCCTTTGGTACTTGTGAGAGAAGTCAGGATCATTTTCTAGGTGCACAAGCTATCGCTGGGCCATAGTGTGAACTGGTGTCTGCTGTGTTTTGGCCCTAGTTTCAGTCTAGTGGCAACACAGGTGGTTGTGGGTATGGAGAATAAGCATCCACCCCTGGTGAAGTTATCCCAGCATTTTCAATAAAAGGAAGGTTCATCCTCTGTGACTCTGTGGGTCAAACTGCTTCTAGTAGTGGAGGTTCAGAGCGACATGGGAGTCAAGATTGTTGTTTTCATCTGGGTGCAATCAGAGATCCCCACTATAGGATTCATGTTTTGCTTCTTTCCCTGTAATACCCTGGCTTTCCTAGAAGACTGGTGAGACTATTAATCAATGATGTTCACAGCCAATTAAGTTTTCTGTTGATTTTCAGAAATGCCATGAAACCAGGGGAAAGGCTTCTGTTAGGGCTGCCATTTTCTTGCTCGCACCATGACTTATGCTGAGAGTTAACAGACCTGAGCTTGTCGTTTTTCTCTTCTGTCAGTATGCAGTGCACCCAGAAGATTCTATCGGGCACTCTTGTCCCTGTAGTCATCATTATTGCCATAACAAGTCAAGGCCAGCAACTGCTGGGGCTCCCAGCACTTGCTTCGATTAGTATCATCATCACAGTCCACCAAGGTGATGGCTTGATTATTGGGATGCTAGTAATCAGTTCTGAGCACGTGCATCCCATATCCTGTGGGCAGTGAGGTGAGCCCAGGAGCACAACAAATCAGTTCCAGAATCCCATCTTTGCAGGTCTGTCTGCTGTGGTCACTCCCAGAAGCAGTTCCATATCAGACCTGGTCCAGTCCAGGAGACAAGAACCATGCCCTGATGTGAGCAAGGAAGGTGTGGTGTAAAGGGTTGTCAACGCAAAGGATTGTCATGTTTAGTATGTAGGATGAGATTGTTCTAAAGACACCTAGAGTGTGAGTGCTGCAAGGAGGGAGGAATGGAGGGGAAGAAAGGGAGCCCTTGTTGGAGAGGGTGTGATTTCAGCTCAACAGATGGCAGAGAAATTTGCTGGTCTGATCTGAACCAGAGGTGGTCCATGTTTGTCAGGCCAGGACGGGTTGTCAAGGAACTGCAAGTCAGCAGTAAGAGACAGGCCCCTCCTCTAACACACCCTGTGGTTTGTCTACACGGTTCACTTGGGGTCAAGCTTGTCGGGAAGCCTGCGGGTCATGGCTGGATCTGCTGGCCAGCTGCTGAGAAGTCCTCCAGAGGTGCCTTGAACTCAGGCT